CTTTCTTGGGTAGACAATCCCAAAGTGCACATCGATCAACCAGATCGAAGGCACGTTTGATGTCGAGGAACACATCTACGGTGGGCCGCCAATAAGGGTGACGGTGCTCCAAAAACTGACGCAAGGTGAAGATGTGGTCAATGCAGTTACGACCCCGACGAAACCCGACTTGCTCCTCACGAATATGGCTTTCACGAGCGCCAGTCAATCTGTGAAGGATTTTGGAGGCGATGGAGATCAGACTGATTCCTCTATGGTTGCCGCATTCCGAGCGCGAGCTTCCTTTGAAGATGGAAACAAGAACGGAGCGGCTCCAGTCGGTTGGGACAGTCTCCTGCTTCCACAGTTTCACTAGTAATTCATGTAAAGCATCAACAAGAGCAAAGCCTCCGAATTTGAAGAGGGGTGGAGGAAGGTCATCCGGTCTTGCGGCTTTGTTCAACTTCAATAGTCCGATCTCACGTTCGACTTCTGAGCGAGAAGGTGAATCCAAAGGGACGGCCCACGGAGCAGGGCGATCACTGGCCGGCGAAGAATCGAATAATTCTAGCCGATTGAATTGCTTTTCAAAATGCTCAGCCCAACGCTCCAAGTGTTTTGACAAATTGTGGATAGGCTATCCACTCTCGTCACTATGTGGACGGATTGAGCGAGTTATCACCTATTTTAAATTTAAATAAGGAGGTGCAACTATTTTTCAGTCATAAGTATGTCCTACACATTGCTTTTAATGAGTATATTGAAAAATATATAAATAAACGTTAAGATAAAGAAATACATTAATGCGATCATTTTGACTGGTACCGCGCGTTCTAGGTATAACGGCGGAGCGGTCTTTCTAGTGTTAAATGTGTCGACGGATCTCTCGATCTGTCCATTCGATTGCGGATAGAAAAATGTGCTTTGATATGGGTGATACTGTAGCTTTTTGTGAAGTTGGTGAACAACTGGGAAGTGAACTGCATCCACTGTCGAACACGAATGTATACGAAAAACATATCTTAGTTTGGTAATCCTTGCAGTTTCGGTGGTTGAATCCATGATGAAAATATCCGGCCAATTACTAGAGTTTCCACAACAATTAGGAGAACATTTTCCGTTAATCAGGCCGGCAAAATCAACACGAGACACCCGGGTATAAACTTAATGAAAGCCTTGGCGAGGAATTATGTTTCTTGGCCCGGTATTAATGAAGGATTACAACCTCTGTGGCAAAGCTGTTTTAGATATGTCGTAAGCCAAAAATTGCCTTACCGACACCCTGCAGAACCCTGGCCAAAACCGGAGAGACCACGTTGATGGACTGATTAACGGAGAATGTTTTCCTAATATATATATATATATATATATATATATATATATATATATGTATAAACGATATGTCTCCATTGCTTCACAGTGTTTCAGTTCTCACTCGAGTGTAACTATCCATTTTACTCCTCTCACTGTACCAGCCCAAATCAGCTGGCCCAAGTCGACAGAACAGTTTGCCCCTGTTGTATTGCTCATTTCCTTTCTTACGTCATCCTTCAATTAATCCAAAACAATTTGTTTTCACACCTAAGTTAATCATCATCAAGATAGAAATTAGTCATTTGGTTTAGTCTTGTAAACGACGCCATAGCATGGGAATACTTGGGCAACGCGTTTCTACTGATGTCAATTCACATTCAAAACCTTAAATCAGAAAACGGTACGCACCTCAATGATGTGTGATTCCGGTGAATCCGTAACAACAAAGAGCAGTAACAGCAACGGTTCGTAACTCCTCCCAAATAACCAACAAAGATGGCTTCAAACGTCACGTGTACATGAGCTCAGAGAGGTTTGGAAACAGTCGGTTGATATAGTTATTTGGTACCACTTCGCTCATGACACAAGTGTTTTATCAGATCGAGTGAGTCAGTGTGCAATTGGAGTGGCATTTTATAGCGAACAGGGCGATAACCGCGTTACCCCAAAGTGTCATTACAGTCGCAGTTCGTGATGTCACCTCAGGTGGTTCAATCACAGTGGGAATCGTCTAGATGTTCCTTCGTGCGTCATGGCATTGACGGATAAGCCCATAGTGGTGACAATGGGAGTCGAGTTGCACTTTCCAATCTGATCCACGTCCCGATGGTTTAAGATCGATCACCAAGCAGTAAAGAGTTCTAGCCCCTATTCTGTTCACACAACTGTCCGTTTTGGTGATTTCCAACGCCTCGGCAATCAACCGCTTAGGCGTTGATCGTACATTCCCCCTAATGACCTCTACTTTATCCAAGCCGATCTGGTGACTCGTGTCTAATGCATGCGCAGCCACGGCCGAGTCTTACCATTGCCTAGTATTCAAATTCGTTTGTCGGTGGTCTTGTATACACCTGTGCTCGGAAATTCGTGTGCGTAACTCTCGCTGTTTAGGCCTGTGTACACATGTGCACAGTTAGTCATCCTATTCTTAGTAGGGGGCCCTTCAATTGCACCAGCGCTGAACGTAACGTTTTACCTCGCTGGAAAATCTGGCATTTTCCTTGTTTATTATCTTCCGAAGTGCCTATCTTGTGTTGGATTCATACCGTCCCTATCTACTCCGTTGTGGATCTTGACTGTCGGTTTAGCACGTCATGTAACTGTCGTTTGATTAGCCGCCGTGGGTAACCACTTACCACGGGCCCTTTTTGTCCTCCTCCATCGTGCTCAGGGTTTTCCTTGTAGAACAGCTCTGAGGCTATCCCACCGTAAACCTGTTCCAGATGACTCGAAATGTAGTAGAGTACGCCGTCAATATCTATTAGCTTGCGATATGTTGTCGTCTTTAAATTTTCCCCGTTCCTGTGAATCAAGAAGTCCAGAAACGGTATTGTACTGCTACAAGATTCCAGCTCAGTAGTAAAATGTATCCTCTCATCAGTGGAGTTTAAGTGATCAAGTAACTCGTCCTTATCCCATTTAACAAGTACAAAGGTGTCGTCCACATAGGGCCACCAAACTTTCGGCGAGTTACTGGTGGTTGTTAACTGCCTGTTCTCGAAGTCTTCCATATACAAGTTCGCCAGTATAGGAGATATTGGCGATTCAATGGCGAGACCTTGTTCCCGACTGTACAGCTTCGACTGAAAAATGAATTAAGACATTTTAAAACACGTCGTCATACCCTCGATTACCTAGTTGATCATACGCTTTGTTTGATCACTCAGATTGACGTCTTCATTCATTGCTATTCCTATCGCCTCTTCTTTGGATACATTGATGAAGTGATGTAACATCGAAGCCTAGCATCAACTCGTCTGGCTCGGTTTCGACACTTACTAGCTTAAGAGCGAACTCATAAGTTTTACACGAATTTACTCGTTTGCGCTGTCAGAGGGTGCAATATCCTCGACAATTATCTAGCGAGTTCATGGGTCGGGGGGCCTATACCGTCGACATGGGTCGTACGGGAACTTCGGGTTTGTAAACTTTTGGCAAGCCATAAACCATCGGAGGTAAAGTCGATTTTGGGTATAGACTGTACCATTTGCCTGTCTCTAATCGTCCTTCACGGTTCTTTGATACTTACCAATGTTTTGTTCATTACTGACGTCATAGTCTTATCAACAACTACTCTATATGGACCCGCCTCCAAATGTTGCTTCCTTTTTCTAAATATTCTGAACTATTCATTACAACCAGGATTTTCCCCTTGTCAGCCTTTGTGATTACTATGCTACGACCTTCCTTCAATCAATTTATTGTGATACGTACAGTTTGCAGAAGATTAGGTTCAAACTGTTGCTGAAGCTTAATGATATTTAGTAACTGCACGAATATTCTCTGCCTTCGTAGCGGACAACAATATCACCGCGCTTTCAACGCTTGGAATAACCTCTTCCACATAGATTTGTTGATGGTAAAGATCAAACCTTTCTCCACCAATCTACGTTCCGTTTCATTCAAAACCCTATCTGACAGATTAACTACATTACAATAGCTATCAAGAGACCCGGACCTTTCAGTAGGACCAGTGGCATTAGGATGCAGTTATTAATCGCTCGAGATTACGAATTTGTCTTTTTTGACGTCTGTAGCCTACTTTAAAATTCGGTTGTACTCGGGAGGCGTTATCGCGATCTGTAGATCCAAACAGCCCATTCGCGTCGATGCGGATCTCGCTTAAACGCTTGGTCACTAGATAAGTCCGCTGTCTCCAAAAGACTTTGGAAGCATTAAATGCGATCCTTGCGGAGATGTACGTGCTGTCTGGAGTTTTCACTGTGAGACTTTTGGGGATCACGTTACTTTTAAGACATCTCATGTTGTAAACGCGATGATTCTCCCAGTTGGCTTCAAGGCCCGCCAATCGAACGAATTTACTTGACGCTTTTGCCACACGGGATCCGTATTTGGTTTAAAATTCCTGGAACAGATTGGCGGTGCCTCAACACGCAGCATTTTTAGATGACAGGTTAAATAATGGTAACGGTCACTAGCCGAAACGGTGTGGATGAGCGGGTTGTATGCGCGATCCGACAGTTTGAGGTTACCTAGAGTAGGACTTGCAGCGTCAGTTGTAACAGGCATGAGATACACTCACATCAGCATCCAAACAGTGTCAGCGAACCGATAATTAAAACGAAAAATATGATGGGAGGAATTATCGAACTGCATGTTGATTTGATGATTATGAACATAGAATGGGATAGACAGTTTGGATAGGTAAAATTCACAGTAAACGGATCCGTAATCTGGACAATGACCTCGAAGGGCGAAGCATTTGTATATTTTCTGCACTCTCCATATTCCCCTTATCCATGCTGAAACTCACATATCCATAGAGCGAGTCTCGTTTTTACTGCAACCCTATCGGCACTTCTCTGTACTGTCAAACAAGGAATTCGGTCACACCTAATTTCGCTTCATAGCTATACTCTTTCGTTTTGCCTGATCTGCGCACTTGTCGAACCTATTACTTTCTTTCATCAAATGAATGTGCCTGCACGATTCTGCGTAACCTCACTTTCTTTAAACTTACATTTCAGAAGGAATTAACAGTGAGAATTTGCCACTGACGCTTCGACGTAATTCCGATTCTTTCCCTGGGTTGTTATCGACCTCAGGGACGATTCCTTGCATTGAAAATGCCCACCATTTGCATTTCCGTATATTTATTTTGCTTTCTCGACGATGGATCCCATGTACATTTTCTCTTGGTCCCACTTTTCCTTAGATGCTTTTCGTTTCACTTTTCTCCATCCCTACTGATCGCTCCCTATCTTCGTGTGAACTTATCTACCGTACTCCGACCCCGAAATGTCATTCCTGGTGCTCTGTAACCGCCCTCTTTGTAACTTTCCTGTCTGCTACGTTACAATCGTGCTTATTAGGAAGTTTTTTTCGGTAACGTCATGTAAATTGCGATATTTGTACAACTGACCTCTCCTCTTCGACAGTGCCCATCCGTTCACCATTCAGTTTTTCCCTCAAATTTTCTCTTAACTGCCAGTTTATTTTTGTTGCCTGTGTATCTTTAACGCACGCTCCGATTTACTTTTTGTTTCTTCACATACTTCCGTGCCGTGCGACGAGCTATCACAAGCTACCTGGATTGTCTTGTTTCAATTGGTGGCTGCCACTGCCAGCGTGCACAATATCCACGGCCTTCCGAAATGCGGATGCGGAATCACTGTGTTTCACTCTCCTCTCATGGATTGATTTTATTTGACTTAGGCTGAGTCAACTATGGCTCTCATCTCATTTTTGCGGCGAAACTAAACACCCGCTTGTGCTAGCACACAGCATGTATTCATCAATGGGACACATGATTTTGGTGAAAATCGTGGATTGTCAAGCTGTTCGCTCATCTGATTGGCTTATGCCTGACTTAGTTTTTACTAAATGACCCATTGGTCTTGATTTCCGGGTGATTTGTGGCAATCGGTTAGTTTATCTAATTGGCAACGTTTCGCTTTCGACATAAAAGCTTCGTAAGGCTAGGTGCATTTGTACCTAATTAGTGTGGCATTATATAGCGGGTGAGGGTGACAACTGAGAAATGAGTCAAGAGATCTAAAGACAAAGGGAAAAGTCAACTTTTAAATCGAGGACTTCAGGAAGAAGGTCCTAGTAAACTCCGGTAGTTTACTGAAAATTTGGTGGCGCTACGTGTACGACACATTCGTGTTAATAAAAAGGGATCAGAAGGAGAACTTGTTAAACCATCTAAACTTCACTGTGGACTCGGAGTCGTGCAGTGGTACAATACCATTGCTTGACTGTCTAGTTCATAGCAATGGAGGAAATTTGAGAACAACTATCTACCGTAAGACAGCAGATACCGATGGTATATTTCATTATACTTCAGCTCATCCAAAGCACGTTTACGCGGGGATAACTTCATCGCTGTTCCCCAAGGCACAGACTCTGTGCACAACGAAGAAGATAGAAGGGATGCACAGAAAGAGGCCATGAGCAAACTACTAGACAATGGTTATCCGCGACTTCTATACCATTTCCCGGCCAAGTTATCCGCTTGGGCAACAGAAGTAATCTGAGGGGGCATTCAGCATGAGTCTACTCAATTAATTTGTTCCGTGCGTACGCCAGTCACTTGTGCAGGTGTGCGTGTATAGCCTATCGCCCTCAGACGCAATAAGTCATAGGGGTGCAGGTGGAACGCTTAAGCTCCTACGCACGTAACAAATTAATTGAGTAGACTCATGTTGAATGCCCCCTCAGATTATTCATGTTGCCCAAGCGGATAACTTGGCCGGGAAATGGTGTGGTGAAATGCCAGCTACATAAACTACTAAAGCTACAGGCGAGGTCCACAACGCAGTGGGTAGGAACGGTGGGAATTCTTCACAAAGAAGAAGCCTCGAGAGCGATTCGGAGGGTATAAGGGTTATCTTCCACCATGGCCAAACCTTGCGCCTTGGTCAAACATCGAGAGAGCCACAGACACGGATGTTAGAACATAGATAGCGCATTTTGCTATCACCGAAGAATGAACTTCAATACAGAGCTCTATTGAAAGACTCCGCCGTAGCTGTTCATGCGCTAGAACTAGGGCATCAGATCGATTTGGATATTGTCGAGATCGTTAGAAAGAGTTTACGAGCGAAGTCTCAGAGGTTAATTGCCGAAGCAATCGGAATCGCTAAAGTTGTAATCTGGGTGAGTAGAGTGGAGGGTGCAGAACTCTCGATTGCGTGGAGAGCGATCATAACCCGGCCAATCTGACGAACGTCGATACGTGGGTCAGGTTGGATAGCAAAAAGGGACATCATCATCAACAAGGCGTTACTTGACAAAATGACGGACAGTGAAACCCCGATAATAGCCCCACTCTGACTGACCACTTGAGTTGACTTTTCCATTTGTCTGTAAGAGTCTCATATCTCAGTTGTCACTATTAGCTCCCTCACTCGCTTTATAATGCGATAACAATTGTGTACAAATTCACCTGGCCTGACGAAGCTTTTGTGCTAAAAGCGAAACGTTGCCAATTAAATGAACTAACCGATTGTCCACAAATCGCTCTAAAATCATGACTTCTCGATCGGTTCCAAGTATAGTCCAAGACTCATTGGTCCCCACACTGAGCCCTTTGATCTTAACTGCACCTCAGGAAAAACCATTTATCGGTGCACGTTTGGACTGTTTTCTACCGCTTCGTTTCTCCACTGCCACTATAGTCTGGTCGATACCATTAGTCAGTTACCGCCTTATTAGACTGCATGCCTAGTTTATTGATTTGCAGAAGCTGCACAATAGGCATGTCTTAGTGGTGGTTAACTGTCTTATTGTTGCTCTGTCATTCCATCTCAGTTGTCCCTAAAGCAAGCGAACGCTGAGGTGTCTTGATTAGGGGAAGCATTTGAAAAGAAGCTCGAAAGAAATACAGTAATATAGTGTAGAGAGTGACTCAGAAAGGTCTGCAGACTAGCATTTACGAAAAGATACCTGGGAAGATACGAGTGCTCTGTTCATCTACTACAACCATAAATAAGGTTTCTAGCAATCCATACGCCGGTACGGGGCCTCGTTCTGGGATATGAGATGCGTGTAAACGACCCAGCTGTTTTATCAACTTCCTCATTACTTCCATACCTTTTGCTGTTCATCTCAGTGTCTTCTGTGTAAACCAATGTCGTGAGCCCCACTCTCCAACAGCGTTTTGATGTGAACCACACGTAGACTTAGTTCTGTGTGTTGGCCACTACGGCTGACTTCGTACTTACTGCACTGTTCAGGTGAAGGTAAAAGAATTACCACTTTACCCATTGTCGTGAAGATTCAAGAGAATAGTTACATATTTTGCACAATGTAACGTAAGCTTACGATGGTTTTTACATCCTATTTCGCAAATTCCACTGTTTCGCAGATGCTCTGAGTGTAAACTACTGTAACATGTTCCACAACCATATGCATATTTGCCATTTTCTTGTGTTCACCTGCAATGATACACAATTTGTACATCACTAACCCAGTCTCGTTGTTTCGACCACACATGTGTAGGAGTGACAACAACTATCATTACATAACTGATCGGTCGAGAACACAATCTGACTGCCGTGTGTTCACTTAACCTCCATTACCTCAGGTTCTGCCAACCTTCCTGCAGTCTTCGTAGGACGCCCATCTGGTGAAATCAAGCAATACTGACTGGAGCTCACCTTGCTTTCACAAAGCAAACCGCTTTATGGTGTCTACTTTCAGAAGTACCCATCATTTGCACGATGATAGCGGACTCACCCATGACACTTCTGTGCGTTAACTGGGAGACCATGCATAGTTTGCGTTGCACCACACACAGCCCCGTGTCCATTGCAAACCTAAGAGAAGCTAGACTGGATATACAAGTGAGAATCAAGATTGATTCGAATCTGATCTATCTCCCATCAGTGGCTACTGCTCAGAGGAGTGTGCCAGATGCATACGACGGCGGTTGATCCTTTTCCTGTTACTTGATGAGGCAATTATGGAACATAACGAAGCACTCTGTTTCCTACAGTAATGACTCCGAAGCACCTGGAATCCATAGTCAGGTCGGCAGCATCGGAGTGGTACGCACTTTGCGGACATTCGCCGACCTGTGGCCTACTGGATCACAAGCATGCCTGATAATCCGGGGAGAGGGCTCGAGCCTGTGCAGGGGACCGGGCGAGCCTCGCGGTATTCTTAGTCCACGTGCGACTGTTGGCAGTTGCGCGGCAGCGAAGCCTCGGTACTGCTGATATCACAAGAGCAGCCAGACCTGATATCTCACTCACGCGTGCATGTTATTCAAGTTTTGGGCCAAGTAAAACGGCAAGACACTACAGTGTCTCCAGTATGCATGCAACCTCACGACACCCCATATTTTACGGCAGTGTGCAGACTCGGCTTGGACCAACTCATGTGCGCTGTATTTGGTTGCACCTGAGATAGACCGAAAACACCAGCTGGTCGCGATGAGTATCTCAAATCTTGAACATGTGCGGTGAAGTGGTCAGGCCTGTGTTCTACGCGTGTTATATTGGTACCAGCATCCACATTGTCGTACGATGTCAGAATGATCGCTGGGCACTTATATGCTCCTAATCGTTTACCTATTGTGTTCTCTGCCCTGAGTCTGACGTGGCCGAGTTGACGCATCCATGCAATAGCGGTGGGATAGGACAGTGGATGCAAGTATTCAGGCATTCCTATACGCTTAGAAGACCACACAGAATCCGGCGTCTATTCGGAGTCAGTTATCCACTGAAACGTCAATGGAACGGAAGCTCTGCAACACTCACGAGTTGCTGTTATCGAATGAGGAGACGCCATTGCAACCTGCAGTTTCGGGCGATTGTAATCGTTTCGTCGTAGGAGATCCTATCTACGCACGCGACTACCGACATGGGCACCCGTCCTGGATCGTAACAGCAGTGATGGCCCACTGTGGCACTATGGAACATGATATTTGCGTCTGATAGCACATGGATTCGTCCCCGCAACCAACTTCGACCACCACGCGTAAAGATTACTACAGAGGATCAGTTGTCTATGCACTTAACATTATACATATTGCTGGACACATTGGGGATCGCATAGAAACAACTGGTATCATTTAGGGCAACCTAACCGACAAGAAAGCTCTTCTGTGCTCGCCGCTGGACAGGACGCATCCGCCGAGGATCAAGGATGATGCATGTAAACACTCTTCAAGAATGGTACTCTCTAACTTCAGGGGATGTTGCGTATCTCGCACACTGTGAAAATTACACAGAGTTCGTTTGAGCTCACTTCACCGATACCGTCACTATGCAACCGCTCAAACTACGCAGGTAATACCTGAGATTTCATTGAAATCGCTGTCACGTGTCAACACAAACTGCGCACATTCCACCTAAGCTTTTCCCAGTGAGGTTGCTGTATCCACCGTCTCAAGCCATGCTGGGCTCAGGGCGCTACCATTACGTGGCAGTCATGTGGCTTGCCAATATCCACCTTCCTCCATAGTTTATGTATTGCGCTGCTATTTTACTGAGCTGCAACTACGAAAGTGTAGAAGATATTATTTACTTTAGACTGAGCCAACAAACCAACTCTTGCTATCGGCTGGTGCATATTTTCTAAGATCAGTCATGCATAGTTGTGAATCTCGTCCATAGTCTTGGTTCACGTGTATAACATCTGGCCGCTAGCTCCCTTAAGCCTTACCCATCCGAATCCAATCGGCAAAACTGCGCGTTGGAAATTAGTGGTGAAGGGCGTTTCGTCCAATCCGACTATTAGTCGAAACGTTTAGAACGTGTTATAACAACGGTGCCAAAATCTGGGGTAACGCATCCTATGAACCAACAACTCAGGCTAACAGACGAATGTTAGTGCAAACCCTGTCAAATCAACGGATGACTGTGGGGCGATGATAATTAATTAAGATGGACACTTGCGTTAATGCAGTGAAAACACTTAAGAGAGCCTTTCATTTTTGGTTCCATGCCGGTACTCTCAACGGAAGGCCGGACCACCCCAACACAAAGCTCATTGGTCAGGATCCAACCAATGGGAGCGCCTCTGGCTTTAAGCCAGCCAGCGAGAGCGTTGTTATACATCTGGTGGTTTCTCGTAGCGTAGAACCTACTCCCAAATCATCTATTTCGTACAATATGACCAGATCGATTTTACCTGTGAAAAAGCCGTATAATTGACGAAGCGTTTTTCTTCTGCTTTGAAAAGTGATTTGTCCGTCAGCGGAGACGAAAACGCTCATCCATATAGTTCAGGATCAATTTCCGCAGGGGAGAATTCGCCACGGATATATATATATATATATATATATATATATATATATATACCGCCACTACACAAAATCCACTGGTCTTAATCACCGACTCGAAAGTGAGGATTCGTGGATTCTAATCACCACCGGCCAATGGAATGTGTGAAGATTAATGAAAAGAAAAAGAGGCGATTCATTGCTTCTCCGGATGTACAATGGCATTCTGATTGTAACTGTGACGAATCTAGTTTTACGTTATCCAACTCCTCTTTACCACGGTTTCTAAAGTATGACAGTAAGTAGTGTTAGAGGAGCGATAAAAACAGTTATGCTTACGAAAACGCTCACAAACCCAAGTCTTCATTTCGTTGTCCACATTCACTGATGCTTGTTTTAAAGTATCGTTAGTTGTTTACGGTCATTGTTGCTGGATGCAGATCACAGCTTTCCACTCCGACACTAACGCCATTACATTACTTTCTTTGTGTGTACGAGATTGGTTCTTTACCATTTCTGTCCTTATTGGTTTTCTCTGGTCTCGCGCTTTCCGCCTTCTGGTTGGTTTTCACATCATGCATCAAGCTATATAAACAGTGCTGTTTCCGTACGAAAAGAGTTCTTGCTCCTTCGTGTTGCCACTACCGTTGGTGGACGGAAGCAGTCGCGTGGCTCACACAAGTACTCAGTTCTTTCTTATGGGTAGGATGTGATCCTCAGCAGTTCGTCCGCCCAAGTACGGTGTAGTCTTGGGGTTAGAGTTGAATATACAGCGTCGTGCGATTAAGACCGAGGGAAACAGCAATTGCCAAACCAGCCACCGAGTCTCCACTCTATGGGAATACAATGCCCGTGCGAATAATGACCCGAGAAATGACGATCGGAAGCAAGATAACGAATGGGAGGGTTCCATTGCGCCTTTCCTGTACCGATCAAAAGAGCATTTCTAACCACCGCCCGTTTCCTATCCCCATCAAGGAAGGTAAGATTCATTGACGGAGCCTGTGCATCTCTTCATAGAGAAACTATACGGGCTTTCACCAAACCGATTAGTAATGCAATTCGGGAAGATGGTGAAGCAGCTCTCATTCGTTACCTGCAACTCTAGAATGGCAGATGTGATGTTAGCAAAACACTGAAGCGACTAGCAACCGTTCAGATGTGCCAGTGATAAGCGGCTCAACCCTCGCTTGACTCGCAGACGTATTGTCTTACCATCAGGAGACCGTGGAACGTGTATGAATCACGGAGAGTGCTTTAGCAATCCAAAAAATGTCCATAAAATATTCCGCCAAACTCGGCACATTTGCTACGTGACTTACACTGTAAATGTCTGAATCTGACGTGATTTACCGAGAAGAATTCGTAACTCAGCACTTAAACAGTGAAACAGCCATTGACCGGCCACACAGCACATATTCAAATATGTCGGCGATACTTCACTCGGCTCTCGGATATGTAGTGTTGGTAGCCCGAGACCATGGAACAGCTGTTGACGGTCCTGTGGTAACTGCCTGAACATTGCAAGACCGTGAAACACGATGCTTTGCCTATTAATGATGCAAGCTGATTCTTAATCTAAACCATCTTGACTTTTCGCGCTTTCAGGAAAACTAGGCGACAAAAGAGACAGAGAATAAAGCACAAGTGTGCGGCTAATCAAGGGCTCTATTCAATAGGCAACAGTAAATGGGGGAGAATATTGTCGGTATTAGAGAAAAGAAAGTTCCCGATCAGCAGTGTCCAAGTCACAAAAAGTACAATGGTCAAGAGACATACATATTCAGATGTGAATGTGGTATCAAAAATGAGCACGCTAGTGCAGAGTTATCTGAGGAAAATGGAGGGGGGGGGCGCGATGACCATCGTAGGACAGGAGTCAGTACAAAAGAGAAGAGTGGAGAAATCACAAAGCATGGAACGATGATGACTACGTTGAACAAAGAGGACGATCGAAGGCACATGCGAAACACAATGGGGGACCCGCTCGCACTCGAGTGTGGGTGAGTGTGCGTGCGTGATAAGGGAGTTGAGAGAAGTTATGCAGTAAGCCGTAAGAAAAAAAGAAACTGCATATCAAACACAAGAAAAAGTGGAAAGAACACAGCATATAAAAAGTAGCTGTACCATGACGTGCCGGATAATGGCGATCGGAAATTTATCGTATCACCGTAAAATTGTAAGGCGAATTGCATCTTCATCCATCGGGAGGTCGTAATGTGTAAAAATAGGTCGGAGTGAGGCGGGAGTTGTTAGTATTTTGAGACTTCGATGAAACCGGTGGGGAGAAAGCCTTCGCGTGAGCCGTCCTCGGAAACAACCATAGTCCAACCGGAGTTGTCCTCATCCAGCTGAAGAACAAAGAATATTTCGCCTGCTTTGGCAGCCGGATAATCGGGCCCGTTACCTGATGAGGATAGATAGTATTATGAGACAGGATGCAGATAGTTTCAAGGATGACAGGAAAATAAATTAAATTGAGTGTAGGGTCCGGTGAAAATTCCCACGAGAGGTATCAGAGGATAACACACATTCACTATGGCTGGTTAGCCGAACAACCTCCTCGTGGTGCTAGCTGTGTGGTTCGGGTTAACTCGGTTCCAGCAAGTAGTTCGGCGGCAGTGTTCCAGGATGTAGTGAGTTTTCGCCTGGCAAGCGTTCTCCCTATAAAAAGCCACAAATGTCTGCCTAACAACACTGACGTGGCGGTTGTGATTCGCCACCAACAAAATCACCCCCATGCTTATCCGAACAACCAATTCAAGTCCACAAACATTAAACATCCCTTTAGCACTGGAGACACGATCCAGTGCAGGAAAGCATTTACCAATCCCATAAACACGGCTACACATGCCTACACGGTTGGCGGCATCCGGTTTCGGATTTGCCTGTCACTGTGGCAAGCCACAGGACGCCTGCGCCTACAGAGGGACCATGGGTGGCTTGCGCTGCACCACCCACAGCTCCAACCACACACCCCATATCCAGTGTAAACCCGAAGGAATAAGACCGGGAGGCATGTGGATGGGAGCCACGTTTCATCAACGGAGCCGGCCCACAATCCTTCACAGGCAAACACAAGCACACTGTATTTGGGAATCAAGCGCACACAAGACGGTGGCTGGACCGTAGTCCGCTCCACACTGAGTGCATGGAACCACTCTTCGAGCCTAGCACGGCCACAAGGACCGTGCACCCCGTCCCCTCCAGCAACGACCAACTGTCTCCTGGAGACAGTATGGACGAGGTAGTGGGTAATAGACAGGTAGGCACCTCGTCAACATGCACATCAAGCGCAGCCACATCGGGGATATCAAGCAACAGCCAATCACTTAAAACGACAAAATGAAATAAAATAAATCCAATAATGCATACAGATACGGTGGCATAACTCTTCGCTAAATTAGCGTATGAAGTAATTTGGTTAGCAATGAATCCGCGGTAAGAAAAAAATGTCCACAAGTTACTCAAAAATGCCACAAACGCAACAAAATTACCGAAGATAAGCGCAATTAGCGTAAACAACGTGGCCAGCTAAGAGAAGATTATTCAGATAGGCAAAACAAACCAAATAAACTGGAATGAAATTTATGCAGCTTAAAGAGACCTAGTTTAAGTGTAAGTTGGTTTAGCCCAACTGCGGTGAAGAAGCATCAAGAATGCAACATCAGCCTCAGCCTACATACCAACATACATACATTCATATATCAACATAAGTGACAACCCTATTGTTGCATCGCACATTAACTGAGCACATTTTTATACTTATCATGATCATGCCTGTGCAGGCGTGCCTCGCGTATTCGGGAACAAACATTTTATGTATCTTATTAAAAAACGAATGCGTCCTTAGGGGTGGTGGGAGCAGCGAAAACGACCGTGCAAGAACATTCAGGACAGTAATTTAGACCTACTCTATGGAAGTGAGACTTGGCCTCCTCGGTCTGAGGCGCCTTCAAGTATTTGATCATCGTTGTCTGCGGAGCACTACTGGTGTCGAGTGGCACCAGCGTGTTCGCAACGATGATGTGCGTAGGCGAGTGCTAGGCAGTGATACTCAAGGTAGTGCCCTAGAACAACAGATAGCATTGAATAAATTGCGTTGGCTTGGGCACGTACTACGTATGCCCGGTCATCGCTTACTGAGGAGGACCTTGTTTTGTCCGTCAGGTGTAGGGTGGCGCAAAGCTCGTGGCGGACAAAAATTGACTTGGCAGCATAAAATGAAGCCATCATCATCATCATCATACACGTTAGCTAGAGGTGGGGAACACCTCAGCTACTGTGCCGCAATGAAGCCACTGAAGACCAAACTAGGTGCCGTCGGTCTGTCTCGCCTTCCAGACTGGAGTCCACGTGATTCGTCTAGTGCTTGGCTCGAGACTTTACAGGACGGCTCGCGGTCGGTACCGTTGGCGCGCCTGCTGCCGTCTTTTAGTCGGACTGCCAATCTAAAGTGTTTCGAATGATAAAATATCCCGGGAGTAGACATCAGAACAGATGTTAGCGAACAAGCTCGTTTTCAGTGGTTCCTCAACAGGCTAATATACCACTAAAGAATGAACGTAAACATCTAAGGGTACAGATTCGAAACCAGGTGGTTTGAGTGACCAAGATAAGTGATTGGCCCCACGGCGATCAACAGTGCTTGTGTGTTTATGTGTCAGTGTTGCAAGGAACCAGGTAAGAGTAGTGAGTGCCTGGACAAATGTCTTGTGCGCACATAGGTCAGGGTCATGAAGCCTGATGACTATTGCCTCGGCCACTGCCAGTAGACGACATCTAACCGCTCTTGTGTGGCATCTGGGTAGATGGGCTGGAGCGCTTCATGCGCTCTGACCTGGTGGCTCGAGTCGATCAGGTGTGTAGACACTGCGCTTGCCACTGATCTAGTCACGCCGCTATACAGCCAAGCTGGACAGTGTTCCCTTGCTCTCACGGAGTCTCCTGGTAGTTCTTCCGATATATCTGAATCGACACGAGCAAGAGAAAGAGTATACACAGAAAGAAGTACCTGACTTTGGAATTCTTTCCTTAAGTTGTTGATTCAGGGTCGGCACTGAGTAGAAGCTTAGCCGTAGGCTTGCTGCATGGTACGTCTGAACGATGACGTCAGAAAGCCCTTTAGACGCCGACTCAGCTATCCCGTCCCCCTTGAACGGTAACGATAAGTAAATTGGTTTCTTTCCTAGTGAATTTACTTTTGCCTTCGCTTCTCATACCTCCATGTTTCTCCGAACGAATCTCTACGGATAGCCATTTCTATCGAATAGGCTTCGTAAAAAGTTTAGCTCATCCGGAAGCATGTCCTCGCTACATATTCTTCTGCTCCCTCGGTTAGGCACCAAACAAGTTTCCTTTTCTAGTTGAGCGGAACGAAGCTGACAAAATAAGTATATTGCCCGTTCCACATTTTCTTTATACGGACACTGTGCTGGATAGACCCCTCAGATCTTCGGCTAATCTGAACGTCGAAGTACGACATTGAATTGTTGCACTCAGATTCAAGGGAGAACTTTATGTTCGCGTGGGCAGAGTTAAATTGTCGCAATAATTCTTCCGTTTAAAGATGACTATCTGACATGCAGAATATATTGTCCACGTACCCTCCGTAGTAGACTAATTTGTCGATAACTCCGTTTAGATAGTTGTTCTCTAATTTACTCATAAATACGTCTGCTAGCAATGGTCCTAACGGAGAGCGCATTGCAACTCCTTCCTTCTGTCTGTAGACCTTCCCGTCGAACAGGAATTGTACGTTCCTGGTGCACATCAGAAGCAACTGTTTAAGTCGCTCGTTCCAGAGGCCGACATCCACATGGTGCAATCGAACAGCGTCGCAAAGGTAGTCTGTTGTCTCCTCCAACGGAACATTAGTGAAAAGCGACACTACATCTAGAGAAGACATTTTCCTTCCGGTTAACTGCATATGGCTTATGGAGTCTACGAAGCTGAATGTATCTCTGAGGTTGTGTTTGGCTAGGACTTTTCTGACCGGTTCTAGAAGCTTAAGGAGCCACTTCACTGTTGAATGATATGGAGAATTACACATGTATAACATTGGCCTCGATGGAAGTCATCCTTTCTGCACTATCGGTAAGCCATAAAGACGTGGAATCACTGTCCCGGAGGGACGCGTGTACTCGAACACCACTGAGTCAATCGCACTCTCTTGCTGCAGGCAGCGTAGTAGCAGCTTTGTGACTGTCTTTTCTATCGAGGCCGTTTTGTCTTTCTCTGTCTCCATCATCCAGAATCTTGAATGATCGTTGAGGATGGCATTCATCTTAGCGATATAGTCAGATTTATCCAGCTCCCTGCTTCTTTAACCGGCGTAGAGGGCAGTACATTCTGGTTCCGTTTAAGCGCTTTGACGGCGTCTAAGTTCGCGTTCATCAGTACATACCTGACTTTAGGTTTGTGCTCCAGGTACTGATAGCATGTATTGACCATGGTGGGTTTCAAATGCTCAGCAGCTAACGTTGATGAGAATGTAAGCATAGCTATTTGGATGTGTATTTTCAAACTGGACTTCTAGTTCTAGCTGACTGGTATTACTACGAGGACAACAAAATTTCGGGTCGAGCGAAAGTGCCTCAAATCTAGATGTAAAGAGGAAAAATTGTGGACATACTTCTCCGGGTCAGATGGGAACAGGGTGTTTGCCTTATTCGTGTCAATCTGCTGACGCATTGAGAGTAGTCGTCCGTCGATTTGATTTGTGACTACACGTTGAACAAATACTTCTAATCGTGTGAGTTCTTCCGCATTCAGATGGCCCAGCATGTGAGAGTAAATGCACTGATTACGCTCCGAATCATCAAGTCTAGAGGCAACCGTGTCACGTTCGTTTAATGTACGACGCTTCAGTGCAGTAGTAGTAGGATTAATCCTATTCCGTCTGCGCATTTTCCAGAAATATTTCGGATATTCACAGCACAAACTGAACCGTCACATTAGATACCGCAAGTTCTGTACGGAAATTAACGTACAGTGGGATCCTTGGTCTGTTTCAACTGAGGCAATCTAACTCAGCTCATGCAAACATAAAATGCACCCTTGAATCTGAGTGCAACAACTCAATGTCGTACTTCGACGTTCAGATTAGCCGAAAATCTGATGGGTCTATCCAGCGCAGTGTCCATAGAAAGACAAAAATGAAGAGAACAATTAAAGAAACACGAAACTATCATTTCAGCGGCCGCTCGTGCAACACGGGAGAATAAAGCGTTTAATTAAAAACACGGCATTTTGATGGATTGTATCATGGATGAAAAAAATAACCCAGGCGTCAGTGTGCCTAAACGAACCAAATCAGAGAATAATGCTCTAGGTAAGCCGCTCCATTAAGGAATACGCTTTATCAAGTGCAGACTCAAGGAGTGGTCCATTTAAAGGTCAAGGGAAAATTATGAGGAAGTGGTACAACCAATGAAAAGGAATTCATGAAGACAAAATGAAACACCGAGCTAGGGTATACTAAAACTATAACAGTTATCAGAGCGTAAAAAGTTAATCCTCGACTTTGTTTGGTGGTTCCACCATCTATATAAGCGATGTTGTCTTGCATCGGGACAGCATCCTGATCCATACAGTTAAAGGTGACGAATCTAAATGTAAGCCGTTAGCTCGCAGCCTCAACAAGTAACTGAATGTGTAGGAAGATGACACGAAATTCACCGACGCTCACAATTAAGAAGAGACTAAAAGGAATGACATCAGCAGTACGTCGTGCCGACGCTTCGTCGCCACGTGATTACCATCAGTCGCGCACGATACTGGGATGTCGCCCGTATCTACGCAGATCCGAACCGGTGACGTTTGGATTACAAGGGGGTGCCTCATCCCCCCAGTTAGAGACTGGGGGATAACGCTGCTGGTCTACAGCTGCGGTTCATTGAAACCAAGAACAAGCGGAGAGTCGGTTAAATCAGTAACAGCACTTCGCTCCTCGAAGGTGTAAAGGACAGACCAAAGCATGCAGCGCTGTGCGCCAATCTACACAGTAGTGCACACATGTTGACTGCGCTCTGATTCGAAAAGAGTTCCGGACCCGGCGTAAAGTACGCGGTAGAAGAATCGAGTCCAGTAATCAATTAAAAACAAACAAATATATACTGTCTGTCGACCTAAAAGTCGGATTAGGAGAAAACCCGAAGCACCCCACTTGATGCAACAGGCTAAGGAGATGACTCTCTGTGCGCTATCACAAAGTTTAGTGGCGCTGAAGACAAAAATCACAGGCAGAATGGACAAGCCGTGGAAATTAAGGAGGATAACTAACGAGGGCACTGGGGACAAAAGTCCACAAAGCAGCCCGAGGCCTACGGAGCAAGCCGGAAATGATACAAGAGCGATAAACGATATCAGGCCCAGGCCGAGAAAACGGAGAGACGTAGTGGTGAAGAGCTCAGGTTTCCGGAGAGATATATCTTTGGTCACGCATCCAGGGATAACCCAGAGGAGAGTGACACAAACCTGACTAAGCCAGTCAAGACTGTTAGAACGAATCTGACCCGGTCAGAATACGACGAGCGGAAGCGAAGATACAAGGTAAAATCGGCGGACAGGGACCTCGTGCATTGGCTGAAATCTGAGCATGAATGTGACGCCGAGCGGAAGGACCACGTGTGTGATGCGTAGTGGGCTGGAAATGCCCTCTATATGTCGTGTTAGTTTGTGAACCCGTTGTTGTTCTTTGGCAATAACGACTATGCGTCCCAACCGACTCGTTCTCGTTACAATAGCACACTAAGGGTTAGGGTGCAGCACACTGTCGAATGTAAATGAATTTCTAGAAAATCCACCCGAAAAGTGGCAAATCTGTGAATAAGCCGCACTCTGGGGTTATCCAAATGACGACAACGCAGGTCCTGTGTATATATGAATGGGACCCTTCACCTGCACATAACTAGGCATTCGATGAGATCAATTTAATCTATATAAACGCAGAAACCAAGCTGCTTGGATTTAGTTACCTCACAAGTGTACAGAATGAGCAGAAATGGAAGAATGTGAAAATATAACTCCGTACCCTTCAAATTTGGATGGCATTTAGAGTTTTGGAAGTAACTGAGTCAAAACAGAGGACGCGAAGAGTAAGGAACAGGTTCACTTTCTAGACAACTGTCACCAAGGAATGCGTGCACAACCCTAAATACGGTTTCACTTTGTATGAGGAAAAAATGGTCATTGAATATAAAAATACGCCGAGTTGGAAGGCTATAAGTTGCAGGTAAAATCAATGTGGAAACATGTTGCCAGAGAAACCAATACTGCTCTATAAAACGGTAAGAACGAGCACTTTAGGGGACAACGTAGCGTGACAACAGAAGCAGAGACTTGTCCTCAACAGCGAACATGAGAGTGGTAAGAAGCACTTTAAAACAAAGAGAGGTATGGTAGTAAGAATACGGTACGGATGAGCATGTTTGTTAGTTGTGGTGAGCAGCAATCTCTCAATACCAATGTGCACAATGTTCACTCACCATCGTAATCGTACAAAACAGTGGCACGGCCCACACCTCTTGACTGAGGGGGCGGTTGACCGGGATGGCCGTAAGCAGACTGGGATGGATCCTCATCCAGGTCGGAATCCAATGAGCTGTTGAAACTGGGGCCAGAGTGCCTGAAGGAAGGAAAGAAAACGCTGCAGCACATTTCACACAGGGAGAGATTTAGACGATCACAATGACTATCCAAAGTGCACAATTCACTAAGCACTTGCAAGAAGATGCAGGCTGACAGGGTGAGGTGTGGGATCAGGCGTCGACTGAACCACCACCATGATCATCGCTGTTTCGAAGACAACGACAATGACGAGTATGACCGTTGGATTTGTGGATGCTTGAGGATTGCACACACACACAATCCCAGTTGAACTGGTGGTGCATTGCCATTGGAAAAACAACATCACCAGTGAACTGTAAGCGACGGAGGTGAGCCTCTTTGTTAGGCGTGATATAGATCTGTTTGTTTTCCATTGCTATGCAGACTACTGCCGTGCGAGAGACATGGATAGAAACCAAAACCATGACTTTCCACGTTAAGTTACCATCATCTTAAGATATGGTAGACGAGCATCAGAGGTTATTGATTAGCAAAGTAGAAAGGGTACTTGGAAGAGTTTTGCCCCCATACTCCCATCTTGCTTAAGATCTTGGGGGGATAGTTTTGTAATAGCCAAATTTGTTAGGACACGAAATTTGATAAATGTCTCGCATCATCAGTGTAAAGTCCAAAAGGAACTTTGATGTATCCCAAACCTGGATTGCTTACATGAGGACACGGTATCTCTATTCCCTAATTATCTTGCTCATTTACACTGCTTTACTGTGTCCTACAAGCGGTTAACATATCGTATATTTATTCCTTTCACTCAATCACTGACACATCCTTGACGTTTCAAGGTCATTCACATTATTAGGTTACTGTAATACTGCCCAAATACTCGCTCTGCCCCAAGCTGTACCGTTTCTGCCCACTTGCATTAAGATTTCAAAACTTATTCGTAAGTCATGTACTGTATTTAATATGCCTTATAGAACCACTGTTACAGGATATTTCATTTTATTCTTCTGCCCAGACCGTGCGTTAAGTCTAGGTTTATTTGTTCGTAGTTTATAGTTTAGTTTTCGTACGACGTACTTAGTTTAGGCTTAGTATCGTTGGTACAATGAGCTCCTAAACTGGTGTTCCTGCACAGAATATCAACTGGACTTTCTTAGACATCTTGTTAGTCCGCTCGAGTTTACAGCGACCCATATGTTCAAAAAAGCATTCGCGCTCGAGTGTCACATAAACGGCTTATGTCCAAAGTGACAACATTATTCGGAATCAGTGATCACTTGTTTTTATGGCTCACCGACCGAAGTTGAGTCGCAAAATTTCAGCATAACGCAACGAAATTCCGTAAGGTTATACACATTAGTTTGCTCGTAACAAAAGCGATAGAAGCACTACAGTGAGCACAAACGAATGAATCGAATCAAAACCTATATAAACGGTAGAATAAATAAGTTCCAAAGTTCAAACCATCTTTAACCCCCTCTGCTTAATTCGGTCTCCCACCTTCCCTTCTCGATAACTGGTTGTGTCAGAACTTTTGGTCAACTATTTATCTGAAAAATTAGACGACATTGACATCGGAGCTGCTGCGTTACAATCCGTCTCCTCGTCTTACCACTTTACACTTGAAGCGCCAATGCACACCTCTACAGCGGTTACGCAAGGGTCTTCTAACTTCTCCTACCCAACCCTTACTCTCTTTTACACGTCCCTCATAGGAATTGGTGCAACACTGCCAAGGTGACCGTCTATGTCATGTTCCTTGGTAAATCATCTGACGTATTATTGAACAGGGTTGACATTGAAGTGCCCGGTGGCCTCACCGAGACAGAGCATACACACAACCTCAGCGCGACGGTGAATCGACGGCGTGAGCAGGTCATGATTAGCCAAGCGGCCAGATTACAAAACGTCGTATGTGGTAGCCAATCGGACAACAAAAGCCGAGGCAGAGACGGTTGGAGGACACAGAGTTATACCCAGTGCAGTGTGACTGAGCCATACGTGCAAGAATTTTTCATCGAACAAAACCATAGTCAGTTCATTCTTGAATTTTGTGCATTCCAGAGGGACTGAAGACAGGGGATAAAACAACACAAAGGCTGTGAAGCGACTAGACAAGAGTCCATGATGCCCCATCAATTAGTCCATCGATACAAAGGCAGCTTGTGCAGGGCAAGCGAGCGGAAGTTGGTCAGGTACAACCTGATTTTGATACATTTATGTAGGAATGGTACACAGATAGCATTTGATAGTAAGTCGCCTTACGATGAAGTATATCCGACGACTTCGGTTCGACTAACTTACCGATCTCAGGGATAACTAGTTTCATTAGACTGTTTATCACAGGCAGTATGTGATACTTCAGCCGGTTTCGGTTGCAGTAATGAAGGGCGCCGCGTCAACCCAAACATGGTGACTAGGTCATGTGTTTTTCAGGTACAACAAAGTACCTGCTGGGTAACTCCCTCTAATGCTGCGTTATGCTCCTATCCGTTGATTTCCCAATTGCAGATTCGCCTCTATCCGCGAACGAATGTGAAGGCGCACACACCTCTGCGTTCTACGGCAAATACTTCCACCCGATTGTTTCTTTTGCCGCTTCTCTCTACATGTTTTCAGCTCATTTCCGTCCGGTTTTTTACATGCATTACTCAACGACACTGGCTTCCATGACGGTATTCAAGAGGTACTTGTTGAATACCTCGAACGTTTAACCAATAGTACCTATAGTCTGGTATTAGCCTATACAAAAGTTTTACTTGATACGCTGTGTCAAATGTTCATTCGTTTTGGTGCATTATTCGTTCATTTGCATAAATTATTTTTTGAACCTCCCGCTGTTCTATTGAACACGCTAAGGTGACGAAGTTTGTCCGATTTTACCAATGATCCCTGGTTCCCTGGTTCGAATGAGCAAATACCATGCGATTGTACCTAATTCATCAGTGACGTTGGACACAATCTGAGATTCATGTACTCTAGTTTACACTAGAAGTAGACCTTATCGTGTGAATCTTGTCCCCATCAGGGATTGGGATCGAGAAGAATGCACGAATTGACGGCGTCATCTCACAATCTACGTCTTCCGGTTTTTGTGACTGGCATTAATATCATTGTCATACATCCATTGGTCATAAATTGTGGTAGAAACGTGAAATGGGCGGCAATCCACGTAACACGAATATGTGCAGATCCGACGTCGGTAACGGCTTAGATCAGGACAGTGTAGAATTGAGACAAAGCAGCTCAGCAGGGTGTCAACTGATGGTGACGGATGAATAGGATAATTCATCGAAAAGCAATGCAAGCAAGCTTCTGTGACAGATGCCAGTATGCTTCGAAGCCGCTGAGGCAGAGGGTACAGAACTCCAACTCGCGAGCGATTCCGCACAATTTAGTTCCATGATGTCTTTTATCAAATCACTAGAAATAAACGATTTTCGAGTCACAGTGTCCACACTTAAATCCAATCCAACAAGTGCACACCCTGTGTACACTTGAAGCATCAGCGCCAAGATCAGTTGGGGTGCGGCTGAGCAGGCCTAAGAGATTGAGAAGGCAGCCTACAGTATCCTGAGCGGCACTTGTCCACTAGATAACCTTTGGTGCATATGCGTAAGAGTAAGGTGTCATTCTGTCCTCGATGACACTGCGGTGGCAACAATGGCCGTGGTATGCAAAGGCGATTGGAAAAGCAGTGCAATACCGGCGTATTGCTGACACGCAACCGCCACCAGTTGTAAGTGAGCTGAGGATACTGTGATGGTCGCTCGGTCAACTATGCATGTTAGAACCGGTAACATCCGAATTGCAAGAAAGGCACCTTGATTTTAGGCTACCGGCAGGTAGTGAAAAAGGAATGGAAGACAACTGGACTCCAAAAAGGATTGAACGGAACACACAAGAAAGTAACACTCACAGATTGTTGCCTCGTGTGGAATCTGGAACGAACTGGGGTCTTGAGAGTGACTGCTCCCCGCCCAGTTTAGTGAATTGGTCCTAAGGAAAGAAGATTAGGAATAGACGGAAGTGAAATTATGTAGCATGTGTACGTAAACAATCTGCGATTGCACGGGCGCTTCAGGTTAAGCAATTGGAAGGAGTATCTCGCTTTAAGTCACGCACGGAACTATCAAGGATTCGGAACGGTGTATCGGCGTGTACTTTGTTGAGCATAGATGATTGAAGCAAAAGCCCAAAGGCAGCGTGTAGTTTCAGCAGAAAGAAGAAACGGAATTATTGTTTCAGAGTAGGAGCGCTCTGGATGATCGAATGGCCGGTGCATCAGGTCATGCTTATGAAATAGAAATATATTTGATGTGCTAAAATAGAGGCAACACGTTGTCGGGACATCACGGTCTTTCTCCTAGACAAACTGCATTGTCAACTGTGGTTGGACACGCAGGTAGACGGCGGCACAGATAGAGGTTGTGTATATGGTAGGAGCCAATTTCGCCGGGCCATAACTGATAAAAAGATACATAAAGATAGAGCATCGCAACCAACGACGAAACCCAGCTACGACAGTTGATATAAGGTTTGATGGCAGCCTGTTATTAGTGGAGTTGATTGCAATTGGAATGAGGTACATCTGCCGCCAACTCGTGCCAGTGAAATCCAACAGCGCATCTTATCCATGGTAACAAAGCTGAGACGTACATCATGATTCTGTGATCAGCCAAACGAAAATGGGTAACAGCTATTGAATGTATCCGTAGTCATAGCAAAATCACCAATAACAACAGACTACAGGACATCAACTCAAAGGTCGATTATTGCCACGTATTGACTCTGACGGTAGGAGAGCACCACCCGGTACTGAATGCCTTGCCACCGCTAGCACCAAGCCACACAGCTCCATCCTAATAAGGTGCAAATTCACCAAACCCCAAATTTGATTGCCCGTGACCGCCAGTGCATAATGTATTACAGTTGAAAAACACATGGCTATTGTTCCCAATCATACCAGATTGCGTGTGACATGCGTTAGGCACCTTCCAAATGGACACTGCAATCACATTCCTTCTATTTCTCATGGGATCGATGTTCTCCTGGAGCACAGACTAGGAAATTTTGAGTATGCAGACGCGGCTTAGCTCTCTTTGGGACGGATACAACTGTTAGTCAAGTGTTTGTGAGGAGGATGTCCTGAGGTGGTCACTAAATGATGTCGTAGACGTGCGCATGAAGAAGCTCACTGGACGACCGACTACTCATTGGTTTGATTACTGTCGTCTACCCAGTGGAATCTACAGAATCGGCCACGTCAGTGACAAATTACACTATCTGATATGTGTAACCAGGGGGTCAACTGAATTCTTGCATACGTTCACTCATCGATGGATCCTAGATACTGTAGCTGGTGATTGCAATATCACCCATTCATTTTGAAGTATCCATATTATCGTAATCGCGAATTACATGAGGTTAAAAACATGCAACTACTGCGAAAAAGCAAGTAGTTAATGTCAACAAGAAACGCAACCGTGGAGATAGGGAGCTGGGCGGCGTGGGATCACTGAACAAGTACAGACAACACAAAAGCATCTGTTGATTAGTGACAACTCAGACTCCCTAGGCTAAACGCGAGAGTGGCTAAAAGTGATGGAAGTTCCATTGAACGAAATGCTAGAAGTGGGCTTCAAATCCAACCGTGGCATCAAAAGAGATTGCGTGTCGCAATTCAGACACCCGGCGGGTACTCCAAGAGCCAATAATGAACTCCTAATAGGTGTCAAGCAATGGCCGCGGAGCTCCAATGCGTGACCAATGTGTGAACCGTAAACCACAGTGTCGGGTTCCACACTCAGCTCAAACTATCGCTAGTTGAAGAGTCCAAATCAGGACGAAACCGGTCGGTCGTGGAATGCATTGTTGGGAGAAAGTAGCTCCGAAACTCTCCATTTCAGATGTGGTCCCAGTGATCGGAATAGTATAGGCTTGCTTCAAAGCAAACTGTAGCCTCAATCGGGATTACGTGTCGCTATCCAGACACCCGGCGGTTACTCCAAGAACCAATAATGAACTCCTAACCGGTGTAAAGCGCTGCTATGGAGCTCTAGCCTAGTGATTAAGAGGAAAGCCGTCAAGCACTGTGTTGGTCTCCCATCTCAGCTCAAGCTATCTCTACCTGAAGAGTCCAAATCAGGACGAAACCGGTCAGTCATGGAGTGCAGTGATGGGGGAAAGCAGCTCAGAAGCTCTCCACTTCGGATGCGATCCCAGTGATCGAAACGGCAAATATCTACTTCTAGGTAAACCGTGGCCTCAATCGAGATAGTAAATCGCAATCCACCCACGCGGCAGGTACTATAGCACTCAACAATAATCATCTGTCGGTTGGCGACAGCTCAAATCCTCTGATGTGAAGGCTGAAAGTGACTAAGAAATCAATGCGTTGCGAACGCGGCTGAATTGGCTGGATGGATCCAACACCACCAGAGTGGAAGGACAAGGTCTAATAAGGGAATGAGGCATCCAGTACTGATAAATAATATTTATCAGCGATCAATCGGTGTTAGCACACACACGCGCATGGTGAATGTGAATCTATGTGATAAAGGAAGCGCTGCCAAGACCCGCCTCCGCAGGTGTCATGCAGTTAGTATGTGTGGTGTGTATGGTAACTTGAGCGTCATGATTGATGGTCTACAATGTGCAGTCGAGATAACATTTAGACAAAACAGCGATGAGTGATCCAATAAGCTGAAGTGGTCAGTGGTTAGGCGAGCACAAAGTGCAGTTGTGAAAAGCTTAGTCGGGGAGTTAAAAGTTAATGCGAATCAATGCGTGATTGTTAACGTGCGGAACTCTCATCGGATCCGATGGATGCGCACTACTGACGATGACCAACAGGCTGAAACTGCAGTCTAGTGCTTTTCCGGGCATGTGGACGACTATCTGATTTGGAAGCTGGCTGCGAAGAACCTCAATTAATTATATCAAAATCCCCTACTCATGAGTGTGTTAATTTTATTACAAATGTTTGTGCGCCGATAGCAGTGTCACGGATACAATCACGTATGTGAAGCAAAAATGCGGAATACCGCGATAATCGAAAACAACTACGATAGCAGCATAGGGAGTGTGGATACGCAATCAATCCCGAAGTGGGAGCGAAGCAAATGATAAGTAAGATTGCGTCAGCCAACGTGATTGAACCCCTGGGACGTTTAAGGATCCGTGAGGATAGTTGCTACGACATCGGTTGGGCATACATGTAGAAGCTTGGAAATAAACCCAAAAATGAGGTGAAAGAAATCCAGTCCCAAGCGGTTGAAGTCCAAAGTGACCGTAACAGTGAGGCGGGGTGGACGGCGTCAGTCTGAATCGCACCGAGGTTATAATAGGCTAATGATCATCATCATTACACATCTGTCAATCGTTGGAGCACCGTCACATATATTGGTGGCCCACCATTGTCGTGTTCCTCGATATCAAAAATGCCTTTGATTCGGTGGATCGATGAGCCTTTCGTGATTGTACTCAGGAAAGCTGTCTGTGAAATATGTAAATATTATCTTAGCGTTACATACGCGCGGCTCAGGCAGAGTGAAGGCTTACGGCAAGTTGTCGCCGCCCTTCAATATATCCAGTGGTATGAGACAAGGATGCCCGATATTACCATTCCTTTTCAACTTCGCTATTGAGAAAGTCATGGAGTTCGCGTTCACAGGACACGACTCAGAAGGTGTGGAGTTGCTTCCAGACGAAGGACTTCTTGACTGGGAATATGCTAACGATATTGCCCTAATCTGTGACAGACTCCAAACGTGCCAAGTGGCACTGGACAGATTATCACTGGCTGTCAGCCGTTTCGGGCTATGCTTTGCACCCTCAATGTGCAAAGCTTTCCTCCATTATTGGCAGCGACCGCCGCCTGCACTGACCCATGGTGGGGATCAGATGGGAGTCATTCAAAAATTCAACTACATTGGGAGTTGATGGAAATTGGGTGTTGCCTGCTCGAAAACACTGCGCAACTAGTGCAGTGTTTTCGGGCGGGCAACACCCAATTTCCATTTGCTTTGGCCACGGCCCTAGTGATCGCAATGACCAAGATTCACTTCAATGTGAATCGCGGTCCACATTGAGATTGCGTGTCACAATCCAATCACACAACGTGTAATCCAAAATTGACCCTCCAATTACTTGGGAAGTTGTACCGGCGCTCTTGAAATCGGAGACAAGATCACGAGCCCCATAGCAAAAACTCGAGGTGAATTTACCAAGTTTCACCACCTACGGTAGCCGTTCGCCCAACTTTCCTTTACGGCTATGAAACCTGATGTATTATACCAGGAACTTAAAGGGGCTAGTTAAGTTCGAGTAGCAATGGGTTTGCAGTTTGGCTCACATCTGGTGGGAACAACGAGTGAGCAATAAGCGTGTTCGACGCCTTGTTTATGGCACACGAAGAAGAAATGAACCAGGCTCCGATAGCTCAGTCCCTGTTTGTGCATGGTAACCCACCGACTCCCGCGACGTGCATTGTTTGCACGTCTGGGGTGTGGATGGAAGAAGAGGAAGGGTGGCCAAGTGATAACTTGGTCGAGAGCAATGAAGCCTTACTTCGATGTTGGCCTTGGTAGGAGTCTCTCGGCTCCCTTGTTGGGGTCTGAAATACGGTGAACACGTTTGGCTGGTTACACTTGCTGACATGGTTAGGAGCCGACCTCAGTGTCATTCGTGCTGGGAGTTTTGTTGTGCCTCCCCAACCCTCGCAGTCTCCTCCTCCAACTGCGATCTTACTTCTTATCATAATATAAATTTTGCATAATAAATTTCTTTGCTACATAGTAGCCGACTGGAAGCTTTCCGGAACGATGCCCATCCGTTATTGGTAGCTCAGATGGCGTGCACCTGTGATAATGCTTTTTCATTTAAATGTATGTAAGAAATAACCGAAATTACAAGTTATCTCCTTCAAAGTATGACCTTATTGAAAATAGTGGTTCCAAAGTTTTTCCACGGAGGAAAGCAGCACTGAAAGTCATTCC